TTTCTTTCTTTTTTTTATTTCTCTCTTTCTTTCTCTTTCTTTTGTTTGTTTCTCTTTTTCTTTATTTTTTTTCTGTCTCTTATTTATTTATGTTTCCGTTTTAGTATATTCTTTTGTCTCTCTTTCTTTTTTTTCTTTTTTTTTGTTTTTTTTTGTCTCCTTTTGTCTCTCTTTTCTCTTCTTTTGTCTCTCTCTATCTCTTTCTGTTTCTGTCTCTTTATGTTTGTCTCCTTCTCTCTTTCTCTTTTTCTCTTTCTCTTTTTTTTCTTTCTTTATCTCTTTTTTAATATCTGTATCTCCTTTTTTCTGTCTCCTTCTGTCTCCTTTTTTTTTTATCTTTTCTCTCCTAACCCTAATAAACAAGTGTTTTAGGGTTTAGGGTTTAGTGTTTAGGGTTTAGGGTTTAGGGTTTAGGGTTTAGGGTTTGTGTGTGTGTATACAGAGCTACCAGTACCTGGTGGCTGTCTCTGCGGTGTCTCCTTTGTGGGGTCTTCTTCTCTGTCTCCTTTTTCTCTGTCTCCTTTTTCTTTGTCTCCTTTTTCTTCTTTTTCTTTTTCTTCTTCTTCTCTGTCTCCTCATCTTTTCTTTTCTCTTACTGGCAGCGTCACAGCAGACAACGAGGTTTGGCTCTCTTGTCTTTGTCTTTGTCTTTGTTTTTTTTTTTCTTTTTTTTCTCTTTTTGTATTTTTTGTTTTTGTTTTTGTCCTTGTCTTTGTCTTTGTCTTTTTTTTCTCTTTTTTTTTTGTCTCTTTTTGTATTGTTTGTCGTTGTCTTTGTTTCTCTTGTCTTTGTCTTTGTCTTTGTCTTTTTTTTTCTCTTCTTTCTTTTGTCTCTTTCTGTCTTTCTTGTCTTTGTCTTTGTCTTTGTCTTTGTCTTTGTTTCTTTATTTTTTTCTCTTCTTTTTTTTATATCCTCTTGTTCGTGTTTGTGTTTGTCTCTGTTTCTTTATTTGTGTCTCTCTTTCTTCTTTGTCTTTGTTTCTTTATTTTGTTTTGTTTGTATTTGTCTTTGTCTTTGTATTTATTTTTCTTTTTTTCTTCTCTCCTTTTATCTGTCTCTTTATTTGTCTTTTGTTTGTCTCCTCTTTCTTTGTTTTTGTTTATTTATTTATTTATTTTTTATTTTTGTTTTTGTTTTGTCTCCTTTTTGTTTTGTCTTTGTCTCTATTTATTATATTTCTTTTTTTTCTGTGTCTGCTGCATTTTCTTTTTTTATTTATATTTTTTTTTTTTTTTGTCTCTTCCTTTCTCTTTCTCCCAGCCCTAAACCCTAAACCCTAGACCCTAAACCCTGCACACCAAACCCTAAACCCTAAACCCTTTTTTTTTTTTTTTTTTTTTTTTTTTTTTTTTTTTTTTTTTTTTTTTTT